GTCGGGGAAAAAATTACAAAATAAATGGGTCTAAATGCGTTCTCTGGCCTTCCAAAAGTTATACCACGGCAATATGATGGTCGAGTTCTGCTTGCAATGTCCAGTTTTGACCACTGAAATTTCGGGGAAGCCCCGCGTAAATTTAGCGCAGATCTATTTATATATGTCACGTGGTTGTTTCGAAACTGAGGCAGTGAAGATAACAACAGCACGCCGTCATGTGCCATGTTGGACTCAACTAACGGACAAGACAGCAATACTATACGTAAATAATTGTTTTCAAAGGTCATGTATGATGCTAGTGTAGTATTCCTACCTATATGTTGTTATATGTAACGGTATTGATACCTCGTGCCTGTCATGACTTTTGCATGCATCTTTTTCTTTCGCCGCAATGTTTACATTTGGCCTTGTTGATGACGCGCGTGCGGTAAAATTACATCACTGATCTGGGTCAATTGGAGTTTTAGACTGTCAGGCGACGATTTAGGATTTCTTTAATATAATTATAATTTTTACTCTTAGGGAGTGAATTTCAGCAACATTTGAATCGGTATATTTCATAAGAAGGTATTTCAAACATGTGTATGCCATTTTAGCAAATATGACATCTTTTTCCCGACCAGCCCCTTTAAGAAAATCAATCAAAATTTGGTGAAATAAGGCAGATTTCCAATATGTGCACATTATAATGTATGTCAAATTACATTTTGATATATATGGAACTGAACAATTATATTTTTAGGTATTTAGTGTTGGATCAAGTCTAAATTCTTTAAATTTGATGATCCTGTACAAGATCATCAGTCTCTAGATATGCCGCTTTGTTATTTCAGACAAATTATGCCTATGAGCAGATCAATCTGAATGGCTAATAGTCTATTATGATTCATAAACTAGCACATGTTACAAACAACACTAGAATCAATACTGTTACGAGCGATTGATTGTAGAATGATCAGCAACTCCTGACAAGTTATTGCTGACGTATGTAAATATGACCAGTATAGACATCTAAAAATCTTCCTACATAAGGGTTTATGTTATCTTATTTGATTCCAAATCTATAGCTTATCTGTGATGATGTTCAAATTTTACATCTTATATATAACATTTAACTTTGTTGATTTTGTGGATTCATTCTTTGTGGTTAATTTCAAGGATCAGAAACGGCAGGGTGAAACCCCATATGCTAATTGCTTAGGCCAAAATAAAATTACTTATGTTTTCGCTATCATCGGGAGGAAAAATAGGGTAGGTAGGTAGGCCATTTGATTTTGGAATTGTACACCTTCAAGATCAAAACCAATCAGTAAAGACAAATTTATAGTTGGAGTAATAACGAATATTTCAGGATCTACTATGGTATTTGGAACACTTTTATAATGAAATGCATTTATCATAATGCGGAACACTCAGGAAGACGGTCATAAGCTTGTGGAAGTTTGAACCTATACTTGTATGTTATATAATAAAATGATAATTTGTTGTTTCTACATGTGTTTCCCCTTTCACTTTCAACAGAGTGTGGGAGATTTTAATTGTACATATGTAATTAGGGAATTCCCCTTTAGCTCACAATTGGTAGAGCGACAGACTGGGAAACTGGAGGTTACTGGTCTGATCCCTGGGGGGAAACACTTCTGTCTTTCCTGTTACAACACCGAGCAGTACATTGCTAGGTAATACATAAAAGTTAAAAATACCATGCCTTTTAAAAGCACGTTGATTGAAATCCTGACATTAAATAAGCAAGATGGGACTAAATTTTGTAATACCGCTAAATTAAGCAAGATGGGATTAGGTTACGTTATACCGGACTGTTTACCACTAGTAACTGTATCATGAATGATGTATCGGGTTAACCCTGATAGGACTGGCTACTGGCTAGCACAAATACCATATGATAGTAGTGTGTATTACACTCACAAAACAGCCATCACAGGTAATTGATAAAAGGGTATAGCTTGACCTACCTATGTATTGACAACGATACGAATCTAGCTGTGTACTAACCGACAGAAACTACGATTCATTGATATAAACCAGCTCAGTGATAAAGTTTACTCCACAGCAACTGGTCCCAGGACGGTACACAAGTGTTATGACCAGCTAATTGTAGTGATAATCTACAGTCAAATATTGAGATACAACCTCAGGCTTAAATTACATATATACATTTACAATACGCAAATTAAGAAGATTAATGACAAGTTACTTTTTTACATTTCAAATTCATATTACTATGTAACCAAATACAAATAGGCGTCGAATTAGGCGCTCACAACACCCTAAGCTAAAAACTGTCTTATTTTCCCAAAATGACAAAAAATGAGGAATATATTCCCAAATTCAATGCAAACAATGCTATATTATCCAGTCATAAAAGTCATAAAGGAACAGACTGTTTAAAATTTAGTTACAATTGCTTGGTTTTTTTTAATGAACATGGAGGTGCCAACACAACCCGACGTTCTCAGTTAGCGGCGCTTTATTTACTACCGGGGGAGGGCTTCGTCAGGGAATTACATTCAATTGTCGATCCATAAAGTACGTTATTGTGGGTGCAAACAATTAAAGAAAATTGATATCAAGGGCGAGTAACCCTTGCACAAAATATGTAGTTTGCTTGACATGTTACCTTAGTAGTGTAAATCATTTGAAATTAGTGTCGGGAATTGGTTGGTATGTTGAAAATCAATTAATCGGAAAGACTAAACCAAACATTTTTTTCTCTCAATGTAAATTGGCCGAATCTAGATAGGTGATCATACAATCAATTCAAAGAAAAATGTACCATTGTCAAAGAGTTGGTGTTCAAAATAACTGATCATGCTTACATTTCGCCAAAAGCATGAAAATTGGCTTTAATAAATTGAGTATATATAAGCAAAGTGACAACACTGGCCACATATAGGGACATATAAGTTTGGAATAAAACAGAATCCTGGGTACTATCTTCCGTACGTTCACATACATGGACGCAGTTATGTTTACTCTATTGTATAAATCACTCGTCAGACCACATTTAGAGTACGGAACACCTATATGGTCCCCAATCTTTATCAAAGACAAAATCTCCATCGAAAATGTTCAAAGAAGGGCTACAAAACGGATAAAAAATCTATCAAATCTACCATTTGAAGAAAGGCTGCGAAAACTGGGACTGCCTACACTCGAGTATCGAAGGGAAAGAGCCTACCTAGTCGAAATCTATAAGATCTTAAAAACATCGACCATGTAGACCACAAACACATGTTTAAACTGGCATCAAATATGGGGACTAGGGGGCATCCAAAAAAGCTGTTCAAAAAACCGTTTCGCCTTGAAGTAAACAAAAATGTCTTCAGCAATAGAACAATAACATGGAACAGTCTACCGGAAGTGATCGCCACAGCAATGAACCTAAACAGCTTCAAAACATTACTGAACAACCATAACATTACCAACAGGTCCAAATTCCGGGCCTCTTTTTACAATTAGTACCTTGTACATCACATGTGTCCAAATTAGTTGAACTGAACAGGTCATTAGAGACCAAATCAACAAGTGCAAATTTTTAACGGTACGTGTGTAAATAGACGTAGGTTTCATATAGAGAGAGAACTGTCTTTTGTCAAGTATAATGTATGAGCAACAAGACTGATATACTGCCACAAACCATCAATGTGTAAATAACAGACTTTTTATCATTTATGCGCAACCAGCTGGACACTATATATATAAGTTAAGGAAATAGAATCAAGACATCTCCAAAAGCTAAAAAGCTTACAGCGATGTATTTTACAGCGAAAGATAATAAGCTATACCTGATATTCATAAGAACTGTTATATTAGTTTTAATTGAAAACTGATGCGACGTACTGAATATTATTTCTGGTTATCAACTCTGTGAATAGGAATCAATTAATCTAAACTCTGCAAGAAATTGATCAATTAACTGATTATTATGAATCACTATTTAAGATACATTTATAATAAAATCTACATCAATGCGACCCACACATATTCAATAATGCTTCATAATTACACGTAATAGATATATATTACATTGATAATATAACCTCTATTTTACATCTGAATCGTTAGGAATGATGAATTGCTAATTTTAGACATCTACATACATGTACAACGTGCATCATATTGATTTCATTCATTTTCGTTGCGAACAGGGTAATATCAGTAATTAAACCAAGCAAAGTATGAAAGATTTAAACTATGTGGGAACAAAATATTAGTTTCAAATTTCAGAAGGAGTGAGAGAACTGAGGTGCAACTGTATCGTCAAGAAATACCTTACTAGCAAGGACAAGGTCAGAATGGATATTCATCAGCCTGTTTATTAACATATTGCCTACGTGCAATCCAAATGCACAATTATTTTTTATGCAAAAATATCCTTTAAGACATCTGCTTCAAATTTATCTGAGTATTTACCTGGTCTCGAACCATTTTGACAGCGTTTTAGACTATAAATCTTCAAAAGCTTCTCAATTTAGGAAATACCATGGACGCCGCCATCTTGAAATGGCTGACGGACATACGAATTTCCGCTTTCCACGAGGAAAGCATGCTAACTTATGTTTCATGATATATCATTTGCATATGACTTAATCAATAAAAGTGATCTTTGGATTGGAACAGACGAGTGCAGGAGTGATGTCTTGGTACTTGGACACCTCTCCGAGGTTGTCACCAAGGCCCCTTGTCAAGTTGTTTCAACTGAACACGAGGGTTTGAGCACTTTGATCAAGGCGGGTCACAACGCGTCCGACAATAGGGATTTGACCCAAACACCACTTTAACAACATATTTTAGAAAATTACATCGATAGTGTATACATATATATATATTGTCATTAGTATATTTTAACCCAACACACAGAACTAAGTTCAGAATCAGGGATTACACGTGACACTGCCTCTACATTACATTGCAGAATATGGCGTCCAACTCGTGCCATGATATGGTTCGAATACACAAGCTACATTTTCACTTACTTTTCTGGCTGTAAACTGACTACGTGACAAAATCCTTGAAAAAAGCCGTTTTTAAGCCTTTCTCTACAACTGTATCACTTGAACGTTGACGAAAATTTACAAGAAAACGCTGCCTTAGGAGACGAAAATGCAGTTCAATGCTATCAAGCAGGTTGGCCTATCTCCTCACTAGTCACATGGGCCGCTCATATCCAACATGGCAACCGAGATGTAGAAAACATCGGGATACGAACAAAATAAACAAATATTTCAAACTGAAGGGATTTATTGGCATAAATGGGCCGTAACAGTGATATAATAATCAATAAAGATGAAAGAAACTCATTTCTGGAGCTATGGATGATTTCTGAGCGAGAAATTATGGATAGTATGCTATTTGGCGGGAGAGAGGCGGGTCATTGTGACGCACTGCGGTTGAGGTTCCTTGGGGAAATTTTCTTGATAAACACATGGCTTCCTGTGTGGTTCAAAATTATTTCCTGATCAGTTCAAATAAACATTTTCCAAGTGTTTTAATATCCGAAAAACAGTTACTGAGCCATACGGAAATTAACGAAACACTTGTCTGTATTGCATCGAAATTTTCTGAGTAGGATACAGGGATAAATACTGAAATGTGCCCCTTGCTACCGAAAAATTCCCAGCATTTGCTTTATATTGTCATTATTGAGCTAGTGGTCTTCAAAATAATATAGCATTAAAATATTTCAATTAGCAAGCGTTTAATAACCTGAAGATCAGCGCCCCGAAAGTGTTATAATATATGCGTATAACAGCCTTTCAATTTTGTATAACACTAAAGATAAATGACTTCCTTTTATGGCAAGTTGTCTAGTTACACACACGAGGTTTCGGTGTACAGTCACGTAGGAGTTATCGTTCTTTTTATGATTGGCGTGCTTGCCGTTTTCTGGCCAGACCTATCCCACCTTGTCAATTCATCTTACTGTTACAACATTGTAAGTGTTTCTAACGTTCAGGCCCGGTATCATTGAGAAATGAAGGCATGTATTGCAATGACCAATAATATAATGAATCAAAATGAGTTTATACAAAAACATGACTATTTTTTAAATTCAATTCACTTATTTTTTTTCTGTAACGTTACGATAAGGAATTTTAAATGATGGGTAAGTAATAAGAGGTTGCCAGTGAACAAACCTATATCAGCTTAACGTTATGCTGTCATTATTATCTGTACGATGTGATTTATATGGTTATAATTTAGTTTATGGATTTTGGCTCTCTACCCATTGGATCTTATGTTGAATTCCTTTTGCGTTTTTCTTATTATTTTTTTGATAAATCTGATCTTTCGGGGTTTTTTCCTCACATTTTGATGACTTTCAGCACACATATACAAACTTATCTAGCACTTCTGTCCGTAGTATTGATAAAATAATACATTTCCTAGAACTTAAACCATGAGAAGTGAATTGGTCAAACATTTTTATGGCAAAAAATAATATTTGTGCCCATCGGAAATGACATAAAAAAAGAAAATGTATGCGGAGATCAAAAATAAAAATCCCGATAATATGGACGGATTTAATTGTGGACAATTCTTACAGAAGTAATGAATAATTATCGATCTGTTCGAACAATTCTAACAAAATGTGATGAAAAAGAAAGTAAAGATTTTTTTATTTTTCAAAAACCTGAGTGAAATTGACATAAACCTCAATGGCGGAAAAGAGCGTCTTGAATCCCATCATTGACATTTTCAATATGGTTGCACGATCATAAAACCCAACCAGCAATTGCATTCAGTTATAAAGCATCCCCCATTTGATGATAACACAATATGTCCGAGCGATACTTGAATCTAACCCGACTACATCATTTAGAATCCCTGCCCCACTGCACTCTGGAATTTCCTATATCCAGTAACCTCCCCTTGACTCCCGTTTGGATATATATATACTAAGAGCGATAGTATAACAATCTGAAGTCCGGGGCTCGAATCCCAGCCTAGTCCCGCTGATTGTTTTCATTCAGAACACTGCTGGTGATTATATTTTGTTTATTTAATCTTTATTATTTCTAATAAAAGTCCCACAATGCATGGTTTTCTTTTCCTTACCGGAAAAACAGTTTATTGTTTATTTAATCTAAATTATTATTTCTAATAAAAAATCCACAATGTATGATTTTCTTTTCAGAAATGATTTACCAATGCTAGGACCATGCCGGAAAAATAGTTTCCAAGAGCAATATTTGGTCTCAGTTTTTGTCAGTGGTATGGGGATCCTTAAAAAAGAATAAACACCCATAGTTTGCATAGCTTCTAGCTCTTTCTCATTATCTAAACATTGAAAATCTATATGAAAATATACAGATTTGATTTTTATCGTTGGCCCGTGGCAAGTCTGGCCGACTGTGACATGTTATTATTGATCTGAGCCAAAATACAAATTTCCGATATCTATCGACAAAATCACTCTCCATGGTCACAGCCGGCCGAGTCATGGAAAAAAAATGCAGACACGGCATGTCATGAGATAAAACATTAACGTCTAATGGTAGTCTATAGAAATGTAGCTCTGGAAATATTATGATAAATATACGTATTTTCATCAATTTGAAGGGACCTTCATTCAAGCNGGGGGGGGGGCTAAATACGGATACGGAATAGTTTCGTTAAATATATGTTTCAAAACATGAATCTCTAAATTGTTTTGTAAACTTTATATGATCTTGATCTTGATTTTCTTACAGACAGACAGCGGGACTACGTCGGTTGCCATTGACCTTGGTAATAGATGACCCAGATCCGTCGATGGCCCCTATCGGCCAACAGTACAGGTATTTATGGTATTTGACCGTGATAGGATAACTACAAAAGTCACGATGAAAGCACGGAATTAGATTAGCTATCGAAATCTGTTGTGAAAGTTAACGATGAAAGATGTTTGCATATTTTGCCAAATCCGTGAAATATACACATGTAGTTTATCAATCGGCAATCATCGATTTGATATATTCCCATATAGGTCCGACCCACGGTACAAACCCAGTCAATCGATTAGTGAAAAGTGGTATTATGTCTTCAAAAAGTCAAAAAAGTCAAACACAGCTTAAGGCTCGGGATAAGAACATGTATCTTGCTTTTAAATTTCACATACAGATAAATGTCTAGCTTAACATTGTAACTTATGTGAAGCATTTCAACATTCATCAGACCATGCTTGATATCCAGCATCATTTAAATTTTCATGTTAACAAGGGTCTTCTCAGCATCGAAATCCAAAGAATCTGTTCTCGAAACAAATATCTTTGAGGTATTTTCAAAAGAACCAGCATGCGTTTTTTAGAACATATTAAATTGAACCTATCGTTTAAAGATTGAACGGTATTTTTTCAATGTTCATGCCTATATGAACGCAAATCGGTTACATAGCTATACCCATGATGAGGCCCGACTGTCCATCAATCCATATATTACATTTTATCTTATAGTTATCCTAGTTATAAATATTTAAGTGTATGTATTGCCAGTGCATACGAGATTCCTGGAACAGCATAACATCGCCAAAATATTTGTTTCTAACGGTTGTTTCACGTTATTCGAGCGAGAAGAGAAACTTCAAAATGACGCTGATCGAACTGCGTTCATAGCCCTATGAACGCAATATCTTCAGAAACTGCTTATAGAGAAACGTTCAGTGGAAATGTAAATTTGTCAGTCCCTCATGTTACCGAGTTATTATTGTCGCGATTGCTGTCTTCTACATTTAGTACTCGTCTTTCTGATCTTTCCCTTTCTTGCTAGTTCTTTCTTTTTCACCAACCTACGTGTACACCTTCCCAGTTTATTCGGTATTTTTGACGTGATAGATGTTGAATACTGCAGGACAAATGTACAACAAAGTGTATAATTTATAGGAAAGGTGGTTGATACTGACTATGGACAAGTTTTATAGTAATCTCATTGGGAGACATGCTATTTCCTAGTGGTGTATGAAATTAAGGTCGATGATTTTGATTTCACTCTTAAGTGTGTCTTGTTGTTTAGTTGTCAATATTCCAGTTCCGGCTTTGAAGACGTGGCATTAACGTTGATTTGACTAAGATGCCCATGACAGGTATCGTCGATGAAGCAGATGATGCTTACCCTTCCGGAACACCTGGTCTGATTCTCCTTGTTCTTTGTCAAGGGTCTCCATGTCAATCTTTCCTCTGTTCGTACTTTGCTCTAGTTTTATCGATTTTGAGTTCGAATTTTTCCCTCTACAAGTTTAATCGATACATAAAACAATAAAAACGTCTACTCACTCACATGCAAAGTGTACATTGTGATATCATCATCATCATCATCATCATCATCATCATCATCATCATCATCATCATCATCATCATCATCATCATCATCATCATCATCATCATCATCATCATTCAATCAATCGATCGATCGATCAATCACCCTTCATCAGTCAACTTCATGGATCAGTAATTATCATTCTTAATTTATCATCATATTACACAATTACAAAACATAAGATCATCATCATCACTTTCATCATCTTCACATGATTACACATCATCATCATCATCATCATCATCATCAAATCGATCAATCATTCCTCATCAGCCAACACCATGTATCCCTAATGATCGTCAATCATTAATTCATCATCATTATCGTTGAGTTATGGTTTTGTTGACTCTTTAGTAATCTTTTGCTGTTTTCCTTTCTTGAAAAGGAACAGGTCGCTCATACATCACGTGTCTGCATCGCCGCTAGAATCAAAGAATTTCATGTAAAACCATTATATCCAGGCGATGGTAGTGGATACAAAAAAAAATAAAAAAATAAACAATATGATAATATACGCAAAGAAATTATAGAGAAACTGCATTTATTGTCAATTTTTCGTGGCAAACCATCCCTTTATCAAACTGTTACGGTTTGAATTTGTCTCTATATAAGATAAATTCAAACAATTCCATTACACTAATACATGTACATAGACACTAGTTTTGTTTTCTTGAATAAATCAGATTGTAAACTCACTTTATCACGAGTAAATGTGGTTTTCATAAAGCAATTATTGAAATTCTGATTACAGGTGCTTTGATTCTATTTCACAAAGTCTACCCAGAGTTGTCGTTCCTCACACTCAATAACACCGGCCGTTTTTCGTTTATCGCGATCAAAAGGTTGAACCGGTTACACCAGGATTGTTCGTG